GCCTGCGCGTCCGGAGCCTGTGCTCTGCAACGGGGGAGGCCACAACAGTGAGAGGCCCTGGCTCCCCCAAAAAAAAAAAAAAAAAAGAATACAGGTGGTGGTGTGTCCTTCTCGGGGCATCACATCAGGAGCCCCATAACTGTTTGTATTATTATTGGCAATGTGAAATTTGATGATCTGATTCAGGTGGTGGTTGCCAGGTTTCTTTAAATTAGGTACTTGTTTTTTCTCTTTGCAATTAATAGGTAAACTGTGGGTTGATAAATTTGAAGATATATGGATATCCTGTTGCCCAACAACCTTTCACAATAGTTTTAGCATCCATTGGTAATTTTTACCTGAATCATGATAGATGCTTGGTGATTTTCTGATTCTGTCATAAATTCTGTATGTTTTAGCTGTTATACTTCTGTAAAGAAGAGTTTTCCCCTCTCCCTTCTTTTCTTTTCTCTTGTTTTAAAGTATCATTGTGGACTCATGGATTTTCTGATTTAATTTTGATTGACTCCATTTCAGGTTCTCTTTTATATTTCTCCAGTGAATAAATTGGTGGGCGCCCTGATGACGGTGTTATCCCTTTTTCCAGGTAAGAGCGTAGAGGTTTCTACTCTTCCTTTTTTTAATTTGTCCTGGACCTTTTTTAAAAAAAATTAATTTATTTGTTTTTTTTTGGCTGCATTGGGTCTTTGTTGCTGTGCGTGAGCTTTCCTTAGTTGCGGCGAGTGGGGGCTACTCTTCATTACGGTGCGTGGGCTTATCATTATGGTGGCTTCTCGTTGCAGAGCACGGCTCTGGGTGTGCGAGCTTCAGTAGTTGTGGCACATGGGCTCAGTAGTTGTGGCGCCGGGCTTAGTTGCTCAGCGGCATGGTGGGTCTTTCTGGACCAGGGCTTGAACCTGTGTCCCCTGCATTAGCAGGCAGATTCTTAACCACTGTACCACCAAGGAAGCCCTGTCCTGGACTTAGTTTTTTTTAATATTAATTTATTTTTATTTTTTGAATTTTATTTTTTATACAGCAGGTTCTTATTAGTTTTTTATACATATTAGTATGTATACTTATTTATTTTTGGCTGCATTGGGTCTTCGTTGCTACCCACGGGCTTTCTGTAGTTGTGGTGAGCAGGGGTTATTCTTCGTTGTAGTGCGCGGGCTTCCCATTCCAGTGGCTTCTCTTATTACAGACCATGGGCTCTAGGCACACGGGCTTCATAGTTGTGGCACATAGGCTCAGTAGTTGTGGCTCACAGGCTCTAGAGTGAAGGCTCAGTAGTTGTGGCACACGGGCTTAGTTGCTCCACTGCATGTGGGATCTTCCTTGACCAGAGCTCAACTCTATGTCCCCTGCATTGGCAGGAGGATTCTTAACCACTGCTTCACCAGGGAAGTCCATGAACCTTTGAATGATAAAAATTTTCAAGGAAAAAGTGGTTAGGGTTACCATTCTTTTTTTTTTTTCCTCCAGAAGTTTATTTATTTTTATTTTTTAAAAAAATATTTATTTACTTATTCGGCTGCACTGGGTCTTAGTTGCTGCACGTTGGATCTTCGTTGCGGCACATGGGATCTTTTAGTTGAGACACAGGGTAATCTTTTTTAAATTAATTAATTAATTTTTTAAAAATTTATTTTATTTTTGTCTGTGTTGGGTCTTCGTTGCTTCGCACGGGCTTTCCCTAGTTGCGGCGAGCGTGGGCTACTCTTCATTGTGGTGCACGGGCTTCTCATTGCGGTGGATTCTCTTGTTGAAGAGCACAGTCTCTAGGTACACAGGCTTCAGTAGTTATGGCTTACTGGTTCTAGAGTGCAGGCTCAGTAGTTGTGGCGCACGGGCTTAGTTGCTCCATGGCATGTGGGATCTTCCTGGACCAGAGCTGGAACCTGTGTCTTCTGCATTGGCAGGCAAATTCTTAACCACTGTGCCACCAGGGAAGTGACATGAGGGAATCTGTTAGCTGTGGCATGTGGGATCTTGTTCCCTGACATTTTCACTTTGGCCATAGGTTTCTCTTTTGTCTGACATTTTCTTTTCTCTCTTGTTTTTTTTTTTTTATTTATTTTTTTATAAGCAGGTTATTATTAGACATCAGTTATATACACATCAGTGTATACATGTCAATCCCAATCTCCCAATTCATCACACCACCACCACCCCACCCCCCGCTGCTTCCCCCCCTTGGTGTCCATACATTTGATCTCTACATCTGTGTCTCTATTTCTGCCCAGCAAACTGCTTCATCTGTACCATTTTTCTACGTTCCGCATATATGTGTTAACATACGATATTTGTTTTTCTCTTTCTGACTTACTTCACTCTGTATGACAGTCTCTAGATCCACACACGTCTCTACAAATGACCCAGTATCATTCCTTTTTATGGCTGAGTAATATTCCATTGTATATATGTACCACATATTCTTTATCCATTCGTCTGTCGATGGGCATTTAGGTTGCTTTCATGACCTGGCTATTGTAAATAGTGCTGCAATGAACATTGGGGTGCATGTGTCTTTTTGAATTATGGTTTTCTCTGGATATATGCCCAGGAGTGGGATTGCTGGGTCATATGGTAATTCTATTTTTAGTTTTTTAAGGAACCTCCATACTGTTCTCCATAATGGCTGTATCAATTTACATTCCCACCAACAGTGCAAGAGGGTTCCCTTTTCTCCACACCCTCTCCAGCATTTGTTGTTTGTAGTTTTTTCTGATGATCCCATGCTAACTGGTGTGAGGTGATACCTCATTGTACTTTTGATTTGCATTTCTCTAATAATTAGTGATGTTGAGCTGCTTTTCTTGTGCCTCTTGGCCATGTGTATGCCTTCTTTGGAGAAATGTCTGTTTAGGTCTTCTGCCCATTTTTGGATTGGGTTGTTCGTATTTTTAATATTGAGCTGCATGAGCTATTTATATATTTTGGAGATTAATCCTTTGTCCACTGATTTGTTTGCAAATATTTTCTCCCATTCTGAGGGTTGTCTTTTCGTCCTGTTTGTAGTTTCCTTTGCTGTGCAAAAGCTTTTAAGTTTCATTAGGTCCCATTTGTTTATTTTTGTTTTTATTTCCATTACTCTAGGAGGTGGATCAAAAAATCTCTTGCTGTGATTTATGTCAAAGAGTGTTCTTCATATGTTTCCCTCTAAGAGTTTTAGAGTGTCCAGTCTTACATTTAGGTCTCTAATCCATTCTGAGTTTATTTTTGTGTATGATGTTAGGCAGTGTTCTAATTTCATTTTTTTACATGTAGCTGTCCAGTTTTCCCAGCACCACTTATTGAAGAGACTGTCTTTTCTCCATTGTATATCCTTGCCTCGTTTGTCATAGATTAGTTGACTGTAGGTGCGTGGATTTATCTCTGGGCTTTCTATCCTGTTCCATTGATCTATATTTCTGTTTATGTGCCAGTACATATTGTCTTGATTACTGTAGCTTTGTAGTACAGTCTGAAGTCAGGGAGTCTGATTCCTCCAGCTCTGTTTTTTTCCCCTCAAGACTGCTTTGGCTATTTGGGGTCTTTTGTGTCTCCATACAAATTTTAAGATTTTTTTTTCTAGTTCTGTAAAAAATGCCATTGGTAATTTGATAGGGATTGCACTGAATCTGTAGATTGCTTTGGGTAGGATAGTCATTTTCACATTATTGATTCTTCCAATCCAAGAACATGGTATATCTCTCCACCTGTTTGTATAATCTTTAATTACTTTCATCAGTGTCTTATACTTTGCTGCATACAGGTCTTTTGTCTCCTTAGGTAGGTTTATTCCTAGGTATTTTATTCTTTTTGTTGCAATGGCAAATGGGAGTGTTTCCTTCATTTCTCTTTCAGATTTTTCATCATTAGTGTATAGGAATGCAAGAGATTTCTGTGCATTAATTTTGTATCCTGCAACTTTACCAAATTCATTGATTAGCTCTAGTAGTTTTCTGGTGGCATCCTTAGGATTCTCTATGTATAGTATCATGTCATCTGCAAACAGTGACAGTTTTACTTCTTTTCCAATTTGTATTCCTTTTATTTCTTTTTCTTCTCTGATTGCCGTGGCTGGGACTTCCAAAACTATGTTGAATAATAGTGGCGAGACTGGACATCCTGGTCTTGTTCCTGATCTTAGAGGAAATGCTTTCAGTTTTTCACCATTGAGAATGATGTTTGCTATGGGCTTGTCGTATATGGCCTTTATTATGTTGAAGTAGGTTCCCTCTATGCCCACTTTCTGGAGAGTTTCTTTCATAAATGGGTGTTGAATTTTGTCAGAAGCTTTTTCTGCATCTATTGAGATCATATAGTTTTTATTCTTCAACTTGTTAATATGGTGTATCACATTGATTGATTTGCATATATTGAAGAATCCTTGCATCCCTGGGATAAATCCCACTCGATCATGGGGGTGTTGGTCACTTAACATCCTTTTAATTTGTTGATGGGTTCTGTTTGCTAGTATTTTGTTGAGGATTTCTGCATCTATATTCATCAGTGATGTTGGTCTGTAATTTTCTTTTTTTGTTTTTTGTGGTACATAGGCCTCTCACTGTTGTGGCCTCTCCCGTTTCGGAGCACAGGCTCCGGACGTGCAGGCTCAGTGGCCATGGCTCACGGGCCCAGCCTCTCCGCGGCATGTGGGATCTTCCCAGACTGGGGCACGAACCCGTGTCCCCTGCATCAGCAGGCGGACTCTCAACCACTGCGCCACCAGGGAAGCCCCCTCTGCAGTTTTTTGGAAGAGTTTGAGAAGGATGGGTGTTAGCTCTTCTCTCGATGTTTGATAGAATTCACCTGTGAAGCCATCTGATCCTGGACTTGTGTTAGTTGGAAGATTTTTAATCACAGTTTCAATTTCATTACTTGTGATTGGTCTGTTCATTTCTGTGGTGTCTGTTGCAACATCTCCTTTTTCATTTCTGATTTTATTGATCTGAGTCCTCTCCCTCTTTGTCTTCATGAGTCTGGCTAATGGTTTATCAATTTTGTTTATCTTCTCAAAAAACCAGCTTTTAGATTTATTGATCTTTGCTATTGTTTTCTTTGTTTCTATTTCATTTATTTCTGCTCTGGTCTTTACGATTTATTTCCTTCTGCTAACTTTGGGTTTTGTTTGTTATTCTTTCTCTAGTTCCTTTAGGTGTAAGGTTAGATTGTTTATTTGAGATGTTTCTTGTTTCTTGATGTAGAATTGTATAGGTATAAACTTCCCTCTTAGAACTGATTTTGCTGCATCCCATGGGTTTTGGATCGTTGTGTTTTCATTGTCATGTGTCTCTAGGTACTTTTTGATTTCCTCTTTGATTTCTTCAGTGATCTCTTGGTGATTTAGTAACGTATTGTTTAGCCTCCATGTGTTTGTATTTTTAATGTTTGTTTCCCTGTAATTGATTTCTGGTCTCATAGCCTTGTGGTCAGAAAAGATGCTTGATATGATTTCAGTTTTCTTAACTTCACTGAGGCTTGATTTGTGACCCGAGATGTGATCTATGCTGGAGAATGTTCCATGTGCACTTGAGAAGAAAGTGTAATCTCCTGTTTTTGGATGGAATGTCCTATAAATATCAATTAAATCTATCTGGTCTACTGCGTCATTTAAAGGTTGTGTTTCCTTATTAATTTTCTGTCTGACTGATCTGTCCATTGGTGTAAGTGAGGTGTTAAAGTCCCCCACTATTATTGTGTTACTGTCGATTTCCTCTTTTATAGCTGTTAGCAGTTGCCTTATGTATTGAGGTGCTCCTAGGTTGGCTGCATACATATTTATATTTGTTATATCTTCTTCTTGGATTGATCCCTTGATCATCATGTAGTGTCCTTCCTTGTCTCTTGTAACATTCTTTATTTTAAAGTCTACTTTATCTGATATGAGTATTGCTACTCCAGCTTTCTTTTGATTTCCATTTGCATGGAATATCTTTTTACATCCCCTCACTTGCAGTCTGTATGTATCCCTAGGTGTGAAGTGGGTCTCTTGTAGACATCATATATGTGGGTCTTGTTTTTGTATCCATTCAGCGAGCCTTTGTCTTTTGGTTGGGGCTTTTAATCTGTTCACATTTAAGGTAATTATTGATATGTATGTTCCTATGACTATTTTCTTAATTGTTTTGGGTTTGTTTCTGTAAGTCCTTTTCTTCTCTTGTGTTTCCCACTTAGCAAAGTTCCTTTAGCGTTTGTTGTTGAGCTGGTTTGGTGGTGCTGAAATCTCTTAGCTTTTGCTTGTCTGTAAAGCTTTTGATTTCTCCATTGATTCTGAATGAGATCCTTGCCAGGTAGAGTAGTCTTGGTTGTAGGTTCTTCCCTTTCAACACTTTAAATATGTAGTGCCACTCCCTGCTGGCTTTTAGAGTTTCTGCTGAGAAATCAGCTGTTAATGTTTCGTGAATTCCCTTGTATGCTATTTGTTGTTTTTCCCTTGTTGCTTTTAATAATTTTTCTTTGTCTTTAATTTTTGTCAACTTGATTACTACGTGTCTCGGTATGTTTCTCCCTGTGTCTATCCTGCCTGGGACTCTCTGCGCTTCCTGGACTTGGGTGGCTATTTTCTTTCCCATGTTAGGGAAGTTTTTGACTATAATCTCTTCAAATAATTTTTCGGGTCCTTTCTCTCTCTCTTCTCCTTCTGGGACCCCTATTATGCGAATATTATTGCATTTAATGTTGTCCCAGATGTCTCTTAGACTGTCTTCATTTCTTTTCATTCTTTTTTCTTTATTCCGTTCCACAGCAGTGAATTCCACCATTCTGTCTTGCAGGTCATTTATCCGTTCTTCTGCCTCAGTTATTCTACTATTGATTCCTTCTAGTGTATTTTTCATTTCAGTTACTGTATTGTTCATCTCTGTTTGCTCCTTAATTCTTCTAGGTCTTTGTTAAACATTTCTTGCATCTTCTCAGTCTTTGCCTCCATTCTTTTTCTGAGGTCCTGGATCATCTTCACTATCATCATTCTGAATTCTTTTTCTGGAAAGTTGCCTATCTCCACTTCATGTAGTTGTTTTTCTGGGGTTTTATTTTGTTCCTTCACCTGGTACATAGCCCTCTGCCTTTTCATCTTGTCTATCTTTCTGTGTATGTAGTTTTTGTTCCACAGGCTGCAGGATTGTAGTTCTTCTTGCTTCTGCTCTCTGTTCTCTTTTTTTCTCATTGAAATTTGTGCAAGCATAGCTTATTAAAATTTTTATAGGAGAGTTCCACTATTTTAATTGTATTTTTTTATTTTTATTTTATTTTATTTTTTTATACAGCAGGTTCTTATTAGTTATCTACTTTGTACATATTAGTGTGTACCTGTCAATCCCAATGTTCCAATTCATCCCACCCCCACCCCCACGTCCCACATTCCCCCCTTGGTGTCCATACATTTGTTATCTACGTCTGTGTCTCTACTTCTGACTTGCAAACCGGTTCATCTGTACCATTTTTCTACATTCCACATATATGCGTTAATATGCGATATTTGTATGTCTCTTCTGACTTACTTCAAGGGAGTTCCACTATTTAAAGCAGAATATACAACTCTTGTTTTTCCTTTACCTTATTATAAGCCAAACTGTTCACCAATGTTGTATGTTTTAGGCATGATTGAACATGGTCTCAGTGATAGTTCTCAATATAGACCCCGGAAGAGTATGTCTGAAGATGTTGGGCTTCAAGAAAGTAATCCCGCTGAAGATGAGTTTGTTTCTATGCCTGCTCCTGACATTTCAAATACCAACTTGGAAAGTGTTGAGAAAATCATGATGAGAAACCATGGAAGAGATGCTCCCATCAAGACTGAAGAGCCTTTGTTCCAGGTAGATGATGACAGCAGTGAAGGACAGGAACCCAATGACAGCAATCAATATTTGAAACCTCCTTCTCGCCCATCTCCAGAGTCTTCAGAAAGTGACTGGGAGACCTTGGATCCTAGTGTCTTAGAGGACTCCTCCTTGAAAGAAAGAGAACAGGTGGGATCAGAACAGACAAACTCATTTCCAAAGGACTCTTTGCCCTCAGACAGTCCTCCGATTACTGTACAACCTCAAGCTAACACAGGCCAGGTAGTCCTGATACCAGGGCTAATTTCCGGTTTGGAAGAGGACCAGTATGGCATGCCCCTGGCCATCTTCACAAAGGTACGGTTTAAAATGCTTTATTAAGGCCCTTAAGGATATAACAGAATCCTTTTAGAATTTAACTTTTAGTGTTAAACACATTTTCAGTCTGAAAATTTTTCTTTGACTTTAAAATACACAGTGCTTTGGCATCTGTGACCATAGTGTAAGGCTACAGAGAATTAATTCAGGGGATTTTGAGGTCACCAATCACTGTATTTGGTCTGTTTTTAATTATTCAGGTTTATCTTTGGTGGGGGAGGAGGCAGTCTTGATTACATTAAATGAATGTATATTAAAATACAACAATTCCAAAAGCTACAAAAAAGCTTAGATGGCTAACTTAAATTTTAGTACCCCTCATAGATATTATATAGTGTTTTGGTTAACTTGCCCTAAAAAGTATTTTTTAATTTTTTTATGAAAAAAACATTCAAAATGCATTTATGATTTAACTTAAACACACGTAGTAAATCTAATTGAATCTTTGAGCCAACATCTTATGTCCTAGGATATCATTTCTTAATGTCAGGAATATTTTAGGATTCTGGAAGTGACATTTGGGTTCTTTTGATTTTTCATTCTACTCAGGAGAAACTCCTTATTTTATTGCCATTCATGAATTAGTTTTCAAAATGGAGCAGAAGAAAAAAAATCCCCCTTTTTTTTTAAAAAATAAAATTTATTTATTTATTTATGGCTGCATTGGGTTTTCACTAATGTGCGCAGGCTTCCTCTAGTTGCAGCGAGCAGGGGCTATTCTTCATTGTGGTGCGTGGGTTTCTCATTGCGGTGGGTTCTCTTGCTGCGGAGCATGGGCTCTAAGTGCGCGGCCTTCAGTAGTTGTGGCAGGCGGGCTTAGTTGTTCCATGCTATGTGAAATCTTCTCGGATCAGGAATCGAACCAGTGTCTCCTGTATAGGCAAGTGGATTCTGAACCACTGTGCCACCAGCGAAGTCCCCCATTTCATTTTTTAGTCAAAAAGTATTTATTGCCTTCCTATGTGCTAGGCTCATACTGGGTTCTAAATTCTTGCAACCATGGTCTTGCTATCTACCATGAAAGACAGATACATCTGTCCAGTAACTAGAGCAATGTTTTATGTTTTCTCTAAGTACCTTCCTTTATGCCTGAAGTAAAAGAACTTGGATAGTATTGACTTGAACATGTATTTCCACTATATGATAAATTCTTTCTGGGTGTATTCAGTTTTACAAATAAGTACTTGCCCCAAGTCAGTGTTGCTGAATAGTTAACAGAAAATGCTGTCTTTGTTCATTTTGTGACCTGTTAGAGGATGCTGAAATTATCTTAATTGGTTTCATGATCGAACTAATGCACATTTTCTTAAAACTGGGATTCAGGAGCCTGGGGAGAAAACTCAGGGCTCTCAAACTACTGAGTATACTCAATAGACACAAATTGTGGGTTTTCTGAATTCATATGTGAGTGTCATGACTGCCTATACTTTTTGGAGCCCTTACTTTGCTGCTTCACCCACCCACTCTAATTTATATCACTGTGGAGATATCAAGAGGGAGGGATTTTGTTTTTGTCTGCCAGGTTGCTGAATTAAAGCAATGTTAACGTGTTCTGTGTGCTGTTAAGAAACTGTTTGGCAGAATATTCTTTTTGTGTCCATTATACCAGTACTGAATATATGATGGGCTTACCACCATCATTATGGTAAATTAAACTTTTTTTTGGTTTTATGTTTTATTGTGTGATGATTTAAATCTAACTTGTTTAATCACAGTTTCAAATACAATCGCTGATTCTTTCATGTCAGTAGCTTTCAAATATGGAATATACTTAAAAGTGAATTGTCTCTAGGCTTTTTTTTTCTCTTGAAGATGTTAAAAATACTTGTACAGAAGAACTAGGTTAAAAAGCATATTTTAAAAAATATATTTTATTTATTTATTTATTTTTGGCTGTGTTGGGTCTTCGTTGCCGCACATGGGGTTTCTTTATTTGTGGCGAGCAGGGGCTACTCTTTGTTGTGGTGTGCGGGCTTCTCAATGCAGTGGCTTCTCTTGTTGAGGAGCACGGGCTCTAGGTGCATGGGCTCAGTAGTTGTGGCTCACGGGCTCTGGAGTGCAGGCTCAGTAGTTGTGGCACACGGGCTTAGTTGCTCTGTGGCATGTGGGATCTTCCCGGACCAGGGCTCAAACCTGTGTCCCCTGCATTGGCAGGAGGATTCTTAACCACTGCACCACCAGGGATGCCCACAATTTGCAACTGTTTTAGTAAAAAAATATATGAAAGAATTAAAAGTATATGTAGTTGGAAACCAAAATTTTTTTCTGCCATATGTATTAAACTGCTTTATGTATTGCTTCTGAGTTTATATTTGGCTTGCTTGCTTACAGAGTATCATATTCAAATTTAGGGAACCTACAGATAACTTGTGACTAGCTAAAAAGTAATGGATGCATGTTTTTGTTTTAATTAACTGTCACTATACTATTTTTTTTCCTCTCAACATTATTTTTAGTTCATCCGTAATTTTGCATGAAGTCTTGTATTATTATTCCTCTGTAGTTTTCTGTTTTTGGCTCTTCTGCAGCTTGCGAATTCTGTGGATGGACATCTACATTGTTTTCAATTTCTGGCTACTACAAATAATGCTTCTATGAAATTCTTATTTGGAAATCTTGGCTGTATACATGCAAGCATTTCTTTAAGATTCAGTACCTAGAAGTGGGAATACTGGATTACAGGGAATGGGTATGTTAGCTTTACTAGAATAATTGCAAACTGTTTTCTAAAGTGGTTGTGACAGTTTCCATTCCCATAGCAGTGGTTAAGAGTTCCCATTGTTTCACATTCTTACCAACACTTGTTATTGTCAAACTTCCTAATACTTAGCCAATCTGATAGTATCTTCTGGCTCTTAGTTTGTAATTTTTTTTTCAGTAGTCACTGTTGAGGTTGAGCATCTTTTCATATTCTTCTTAACCATTTGGATTTCCCTTTGTGTAGTAATTGTTCAAAGCTTCTGGGTTGTTTCCCTTGTTGTCACTGATTTGTGGGACTTAAAGCTCTGTAGTTTTGGCTTTCACATTTTGGGTTTTATCTACCTGGAATTAATTTTTGTGTATGGTTGAGAAAGGGAGTCTGTCTCTGTGTTTTTTGTTATTTCATTGGTGTATCTGTCTATCCCTGCGTCAGTCCTGCATTGTGTTAATTACCATGTATGTTGAGTCAGACAGAGATTCCCCTCTTGCTATTGTTCTTCAAGAGTTTCTTAGCCCTTTGCATTTCCACATTAATTTTAGGATCAACTTAAGTTCTCACTCACACAGGTTGAGATTTTGAGAGATTACCTTTAAACGCTAGATAAAATTTTGGAGAGAACTGACATCCCTGCAGTATGGAGGCTTCCAGTTCATGAACACGCTTATCATCCCTGAACAGAGGAGAGATGAGAAAATGGCAGTTGGTCCTGATGGCACTGTAGCCCTTCCCAAGTCGCAGTGGAGAAGGCACTATGCTTTTGCAGCTCTCTAGCAGATCAGCTCACAACAGGTTTGCCAGATTTACCAAGCTGAGGTGTGTTTTTTGATGTTATTTGTTTTTTAGTTTTAATTGTGGTTTAAAAAAAAAAACATAAGATTTATCTTTACCATTTTTTAAAAATTTATTTTTATTTTTTTATTTTTGGCTGCATTGGGTCTTTATTGTCCGCGGGCTTTCTCTAGTTGCGGTGAGCAGGGGCTACTCTTCGTTGCGGTGCGTGGGCTTCTCATTGCGGTGGCTTCTCTTGTGGAGCCTGGGCTCTAGGGACATGGACTTCAGTAGTTGTGACATGTGGGCTCAGTAGTTGTGGCTCACAGGCTCTAGAGCTCAGGCTTTAGTACTTGCGGTGCATGGGCTTAGTTGCTTTGCGGTATGTGGGATCTTCCCAGACCAGGGCTCAAACCCGTGTCCCCTGCATTGGCCGGCGGATTCTTAACCAGTGCGCCACGAGGGAAGCCCCGTCTCTACCATTTTTTAAAAAAATTAATCAATTAATTTATTTATTTTTGGCTGTGTTGTGTCTTCGTTTCTGTGTGAGGGCTTTCTCTAGTTGTGGTAAGCGGGGGCCACTCTTCATCGCGGTGTGCGGGCCTCTCACTATTGCAGCCTCTCCTGTTGTGGAGCACAGGCTCCAGACGCGCAGGCTCAGAAGTTGTGGTTCACGGGCCTAGTTGCTCCGTGGCATGTGGGATCTTCCCAGACCAGGGCTCGGACCTGTGTCCCCTGCATTAGCAGACAGATTCTCCACCACTGTGCCACCAGGGAAGCCCATCTCTACCATTTTTAAATGCACAATTCAGTGGTGTTAAGTGTATTCTCATGGTTGTACTACAGATGTATAGAACTTTCTCACCTTGCAAAACTGAAACTCTATAACCTTTAAACCAGAACTCCCCATTCCCCCCTCACCCCAGCCCTTGGCACCCATCATTGTTTCCATGAACTTGACTACTTTAAAATACCTTACATAGGGCTTCCCTGGTGGCGCAGTGGTTGAGAGTCCGCCTGCCGATGCAGGGGATACGGGTTCGTGCCCCGGTCCGGGAGGATCCCACATGCCGCGGAGCGGCTGGGCCCGTGAGCCACATGGCCGCTGAGCCTGCGCGTCCGGAGCCTGTGCTCCGCAATGGGAGAGGCCACAACAGTGAGAGGCCCGCGTATCGCAAAAAAAGGTTTTGGAGAGGATGCTACAGATTTGGCCCGGTTAGAAAAAAAAAAAAAAAAAAAAAAACCCTTACATAAGTGGAATCATAATACAGCATTTATCTTTTTGTGACTGTCCTCTTTCAGTTAACATAATGTCCTCAAGTTTCATCCATGTTGTAGCATATGATAGAATTTCCTTCCTCCTCAAGGCTGAACAATATTCCATTGTACGTATATACCACATTTTCTTTATCCATTTATCCATCGATGGACGTATGGGTTGCTTCTACATTTTGGCTGTTTTGAGTAGTGCGGCTGTGAGTGTAGGTGTGCAAATATCTCTTCAATTTTCTTTTTTTTTTTAACCATTATATACTGCAGCTCCAAATGTGGAAGTTAAAGCATCCTAGAAAAGTGGAAAGCCATGGTGAGTTTGGCTGTAGAGGCTGCTCTATGTGAAAGTACCCAGGCTCTTGATGCCTGCCACCAGACCCTGAAGACATTTAAAAGATTTAGGCTAAATTGACCATTGTTAAAAGTAATGACAGCAAAATTTTAAGGCCATTTTGATCTACTATTTAAAATAACTTTATAAATATGTAATACTTTCACATGGTTCAATATTCAAAAGGTTCCAAAGCATATATAATAAAAAGTCTCTCTCATTCCATACCCTGCTATTCAGTTGCTCTCTCCAGAGGCAACCAACCTTATCTATATCTTTTTTTTTTTTTTAAGGAAAATATTTGTTGGAGATGAACTTCATCATTTGCTGCAGTGTGTTCCATCATATAGAAGAACATTTATTCATTGCCCTGTTCATGAATAGTTAGGGTTCCTGTCTTTTGCACTGATAAGCAATGCTGCAATAAATAACTTTTTACAAATCTCACACATGAACAGATGTATCTGTAGGATAAATTACAAGAAGTAAAATGTTGGGTCAAAGAATATATGTATGTATAAGATTTTAGGGAATTTTTTTCATATTTTTAAAAAGCTTTGAACTATTGATTTTTTTAAAAAAACACATTCTTAGTTTTCATGCTGTTATAGACTTAGCCAAGAATTCCACTGTTGACGGTAGACTTTTCTTCTCTAACAGAATCAATTATGAAATGCAGTACTATGAGCAATTAAATCAATCTTTGTAAAAATTGGCAGTTCTGAGAGTGCCTTTATCAAGAAGGATTCTCAGCCCTAGTTGGGGGAGTAGGGTATTCTGGGGTCCGTATCAAGTTTGAAAGAGCGTTCGATATTGTAGTATTTATGTTTAGAAACAGGTAGTTGGGGAGCGGGGAGCCTGTTGTTTTTAATACATAGCACACAAAGTAAAGCATGACCTGTGAGCCTTGCACCAGCTGTTTGAGTAATTTGGCCTAAGGACCAGGAATCCTTTCCACTGTTAGTCACAAGAGGGTGTGGGTTGAGAAGCACTGTATACTGAGTCTGTCTAATGCATAGACATAGATTTATTTTTGCTGCTTCTATTAGTTGGCGTTTTGTAGAGCAGAGGAAGGCACTGTCAAGAAGAAGAATAAAACCAGGTTTCTAGACATATATTCCAACTTTTGGAAGTCTTCTTTCATGTTAAGTATATAACAACCAGCTGTGAGGTACAAGGCAGATGGTAGATGCACGGAAGGACATGCAGTAGCAGAAGGGGTGTCTCCTGCCCTCTGAGAAATTTGTCTCATGAGGGAAACAAGACACTATCCAGATAACTATAGTCAGTGTTTCTTAAAAAAAGAAGGTGAGAATAAAAAGTAAATGATTGAAACAAATTCAGGGTTTCAGCAAGTCCTCCCTCCTGCCTTCACATGCAGATTGTGCCACTAGTTGGAAATCTATCTTGATATAGAATCTTTCAGCAGAAATTCCATTTCCTCCTTCAGTGCATCACTCCAGTGCTAACACCTTTATTTTCAGGATATAGGCTGCTTTCTGTACCCTTAACTCCCTGCTGTGGCTTGGTGGTTAAAGTATAATTTTCAGGGCAATGGTATTTTCAAATGCAATTCAAATGGAAAGTAATTAAATACACTACTGCCACTGTCATTTGTGCTTTAAACATTTAGTAGCAAGTGTCTTGAAATACTGCTGCATAATTTTAAACAATAGGACAGTAAAATAATTGCTATGCAGGTTTGCTATTCTTATAATAGTACTTTGCTGGTTATGTGCAAATGCATGTGTTTTAAAATTTTACTGGAAGAACAAACAGCTTTCTAGTAAACAACATACTTTTTAATGGGCTTAATTCTTCATTTCCTAAATGAAAAAAAATTTGGTTTCTTAGTTACAGTGGAGGCTTTTAAGTTGAACTGAGGAACAAAGTGGTCAAGTAAGACAACCTTCATGGTAGACCATTTTGCCAAGATTGACCATTCATGCGGACCTATGGTTATTATTGGAATATTATTGTATTGAGTCAAAGATCAACTGTGTTAGGAATGGTGTGGGGTTGGGGAAAGGTGGGGAGTTTGTTTTCCTACTATTAGCTCTCTAGGCTTGAGGAGAGACGGGCTGTTCCATTACTTTTCTAATATTTTCTATTACTCTTGTAATTCAGGGATATCTGTGTTTGCCTTATATGGCATTGCAGCAGCATCATCTTCTCTCTGATGTCACCATTCGAGGATTTGTTGCTGGAGCTACTAACATCCTTTTTCGACAACAGAAACACCTCAGTGATGCCATTGTGGAAGTAGGTTACATATGAGTATGGGTCCTTGACACCGCTGGTCTGTTTTCCTTCTTTCTTTTTGTTTTTCTTTTTTTTTTACTGTCTTTATTGGAGTATAGTTGCTTTACAATGGTGTGTTAGTTTCTGCTGTACAACAAAGTGAATCAGCTATATATATACATATATCCACATTTCTCCTCCCTCTTGCATCTCCCTCCCTCCCACCCTCCCTGTCCCACCCCTCTAGGTGGTCACAAAGCACTGAGCACTGATCACCGATCACAAAGCACTGATCTCCCTGTGCCATGTGGCTGCTTCCCACTAGATACCTATTTTACATTTGGTAGTATATATATGTCCATGCCACTCTCTCACTCCATCCCAGCTTACCCTTCCCCCTCCCCGTGTCCTCAAGTCCATTCTCTACATCTGTGTCTTTATTCCTGTCCTGCCCCTAGGTTCTTCAGAATCTTTTTTCTTTTTCTTTAGATTCCATATATATGTGTTAGCATACGGTATTTGTTTTTCTCTTTCTGATTCCTTCTTTCTTAATTGGAATTTGGGGCATAGTAATAATACTAATCGTGGTAATAATTGCTTCCTTTGCCAGGCATCCTAAGCGCCTTAGGTATATGAACTGGTCTGGTTTTCATAACAACCTTTGAAATAGGCATTGTTACTATCTGTATTACACTTGCAGAAGCTAAGGAACAGAGAGATCAGACAGCTACTAACTGGATGAGCCAGGATTCCTACCTAGGCAATCTGGTCCTACTACAGTCTCACAATTAAGATGTGTTTATCATATAAATATTTTAAATACTTCTAGCTTGTTTAATATGCCCCGATATCAAGAGGAAGGAACTAGAGATAAATATTTGACATCTTATTATTATATAAGAAATTTAAATAATTTGTTCAATTTTACAATTAAAGTAATTTTTACAATGCGTGAGGGTGATTTCGGCGACCCTAAGGTTTTTGTAGTTTCTAACAGAAAGTACTAGAATGTGCTTCCTGGGAAAACGTTTATAATACAATAAATGAAAAATCTGGGATTCAAAGCTATATGTATCCCAATTTTGAGGGAGAAAAATACGTATACTTGCCAAGGCAGGAGGATACAGATGGGAGGACCACAGAGTTTTCTCAACACTATTGGTTACATTCTAGCTCTGAAGTTGGTTGGCAAGTTCATGGGTATTTGTTTTATTATTATACTTTAAAACTAACCTGTAAGTTACATATATTTCTTACTGTATCAAGTATTACATAATAAAACTATTCCAAAGCATCTGTGCAATCAAAGGAAAAATTTTTAGGAATTATATTTAATTGTATTCATTTCTGTTTGTATGAAAAAGGTGATTTTAACTATACATTTCTATATTTTCCAAAATATTTAGTCAATGTGAGTTACTTTTATAATTCAAGATGAAATATTTATGCATATATTTTCTAAAGACAGAAAAGGAGCATTTTTAAACTAGTTAAAGGAAAAAAAACTTCAGTGTAAAAAACCTGTCTCTTTGTTAGGCTCACCTTTTGAGAATGCTGTTATTCATATTTTTTATTTCCAGCTCCAACTTCCCAGTAGTTACTCTTTAAAGTGTGGCATATGGGTATCTGCGTGAATGCCCAGCCTCTGACTTATACCCGGGTACCCTCTAGGTGGAAGAAGCTCTGATCCAGATCCATGATCCAGAACTCAGGAAGCTGCTTAACCCAACCACTGCAGACCTAAGGTTCGCAGATTACCTAGTGAGGCATGTGACCGAGAACCGGGATGATGTCTTCCTGGATGGCACAGGCTGGGAGGGAGGTGACGAATGGATTCGAGCCCAGTTTGCAGTCTACATCCATGCACTGCTGGCCGCCACACTGCAGTTAGGTAAGGAGCTCACAGCCTCTTTCTCATTTTGTAACTCTTACGATGTTTTGAATTGCAAAAGAAACAAGTTTATGAAAAATTACCTGTCACTCCCTCATACAGACTTAACGACTCTTTGCATTTTGAGTACTTGATATCCTTCTAGACCTTTTTCTAAGCCTGTGTTTTGGATTTTAGTTTTGTGGTATTTGTGGTAGTCCTTTTACAAACATGGATCCTGTTTTTCATGTTTTTTATAACTTAGTTTTTCTTTATAATAGAAACATAAACATATTCTCAAGAGAGTAAATGCAGATTTTCATCACTTTTTACATGGCTCCTTAGTATTCCACCATATGGAAGGATATATCAGTATTTGAGTGCTATTTATAAACACTGCTTACATGTTAAGATATATAATGGGTGAAAAGAGAAATATAAAAAATAGAAATCATTGAAAATCACATTCTGAATGATTAGACCTTCAAATTTATCCCCCATTGTGAGAAATTTTATCCCTATTAAGTGGTTAAAATGGAACAGGCAAACATAGAATCACTGCTGAGTTAAAATTATCTCATTCCCTATGGAAAAGAATATATACAAGGAGAAAATGAAGCTCTGCAATGAGCTCTCATGCCATGGACACCTACCACCCTGGACACTTAGCATGTATTTGGTAGCTTTGGTGGTGGTGGTGTTAAAAGAGTATAGAGCTTTTGTTTTTCCTTCTTTTCAATTATCCAACTATTTCATAGTTGCTTTTTTAAAAAATGTAGTGGAATCCACATAACCTAAAATTTACCATCGTAACCATTTATGAGTGTATCGTTCCACAGTGACATTAAGTACCTTCACATTGTTGTGTTAGTAGATTTTTAAATCAACCTCACTACTGCCAGCTCCCAGGTTAGTTCTTCACATAATATATATAGTTTTAAACCCAGGCTTCGGGCATGTTCTTCATTTGTTAGGAAAGCTAACGGAGTGACTGCTTATTTGCTAATGGGATTTTTTTTTGAGTGTCTGCCTCTTCTATAGCTGGAGCAGCTGAGACCCCAAAATTAAGTCCTCTAACCCAGAATCATTCAGTTTATCTAGTAAGAAAACCCAAGTCTCCACCAGCCATGTAGCTTCCTGAGTAATTAATTTACTTTTTAAAAATATTTGCCCGGGTAGCTGAGTACTGAGTAATACATAGTAGCTAACTTTGGGGAGGAACATTTAACATGTGCAGCACCCCCTTTTTTGAGCACTTAACATCTGCTAACTCATTTCATCCTCCCAGCAATCCTAGAGGTAGATAGTGTGTCATCCTCATTTTACAGAAGAGAAAGTGAGGCATAGAGAGGTGAAATAGTTTGCTCTTCCACCTGGTAAGAGGCTGAGCTGGGACTTCAGCCTAAGAAGTCTGGCTCAGGCCCAAGCTCTTAAAGGAAATTCAGTCCAATGAGCTGTTTGAGGAGTATGTTCTTAAAAGAACTTCCTTATGCTGCATACAGAACCGTGTTATGTCCTTCTCTTCCTCTCCCAGCAAAAATAGTCACATGTTTCACCCTCAGAGCAAGCAACTTGAAGTTAACATATGAAGCAATAGCCATTTGAATCAGTCTTCGAAACTTTTCTATTCTTCCAAGTAGAAGAAACGCTCCGCATTGAAGCTTCGCCTCGATAGTGATAAAGCCAAAAAGTTTTAGCATTGAATATATGAAAATCTCCTTGTTATTTTAAGTATTTTGACTGTGAAATGCATGGAAACTCAAGAGTAAGTTTCACTGAATAGTGAGGCAAAGAAAAGTAAATAGTGTCTAAAAAGAACCAATTAATGTATTCTTTCTAATTGCCTTTCTTAGAAAAATGGCATTTGTGAAAAGATGAAAAGATACCCTAATTGCCTGCTCCATGTGTATACATCAGTATGTTTAACCCACTGTCCAGCCTGTAGATTTTAATAAATAATACTATGCCTCCTTACCTTGGTAAGGAGAACTTGGAAATATTTTGGAGTTTTAAGGAACCTTAGAAAATATTTGGCTCAACCCCCTTATTTTCTAGTAAGAAAAAGTGAGTAAGTGACTTACCAAAGGCCACATCGCTTCGTAACAGGATTTCTGGAATTAGACCCAAGATTCCTGACATCTGGTAGGCTGTCTCCCCAAGAAAGCAGGGGGACAGGGAGGCTAAAGCCATTTCTTTACTGGTTTAGGTTATTAATCTTTACATCCCTGACTGGCTACAGTCCAGCTCAACTTTCAAATATTTACTTGACAGATAATGAAAAGATCTTATCAGACTATGGGACGACCTTTGTTACAGCATGGAAGAACACTCACAACTACAGGGTCTGGAACAGCAACAAGCATCCAGCACTTGCAGAAATAAATCCGAAGTAAGCAATCCTCTGAAGGTTGATAGAGGTGGTTCACTTTCTAAGTGTGCCCCAACATAAAGAAAATCATATCTTAACTCTGATGATATTGTGAATATCTTCAAGAATCTCCCTGAGTAGATTTTTATAAAAAGGCTCCCAAGTACAGAGAAGCAGCTGAAAACTGCTTCCCTATTCACACTTCTTACCCACAAAGCACAAGGCATTTTGGAAGCACTAACATTTCTCCCAGCTTCCAGCGTGATTTGGAGACAAAATCCTGGCCTGTGAGGATCCTCCTACCTCATGGTTCTTCTCTCCCTTTCCCTGGATCTCTGCCTCAGCAGAATGGTCAAACAAGACAGAACCCTTGAGGGAAATAGCACTGGTTAAAACTGAGAGGTTATTTTATTTTTATTTTTTTAAACTGAGAGGTTATTTTAAAATATGAAGTGTGAACAACTAAACTTAATATTTGAACTCCTAGATTTGCAGTCAAATCTGATGCAGTTTCCACATCAGATTCTAGATCCAACAAAATTTAATACCTGTCACAGTGTCGACTGCTGGGCAAAGACTTTATCCCATGTAAAAGACATTTAAACATGCTGGGGAGTGGGGCCATTAAGAAATAATACTGTGTGAATGGCAGAGTAGCGCCTAAGGAGATCAATTAATAAAATGCGTACATCTTCGAAACTTCTTTTCTAAATTAAAAAATATAATTTTTTATGTACAATACAAGTATACGCTGAATGTTTGTTTTCATTTGTATTTTAAACTCTACTTGTCGGTGAGAATCTGACAAAAATTAACTTAGTACTGATTACCATATTATTTGGGAACTATGGTAAACTTAGCTCAACTGGGGATGTGATTTAAGTGGTGCTACAAACACAAAACCCAGGAATTATGTCATAGTAACTTGCAGAAGCATCTGTAAGGAAGCAGGGTTTGGGAGAACGTGTCCGCCAATGCTTTGTACCTATCAAGAACAATGACTAGGTTCAGGACCGATTTTGGGGAATTTAATCCTCATACTGGGCTGTAGCAGAAACCTATGTTGCCATTTGGGTGTGGTAAAAACATAGAGAATTAAAAGGCACAAGCGTTTTAATGGTATTAAATGAAAGGACTAAGAGTTCAGAGTTTTCTGCCTCACTAACCACAAGGTCTGTGCTAAAGAGTAATAAGGAGAAACAGATGTGAGTTGGTTTGCCTGGCGGCGCTCCTTGTGGTAGTGCTGGGGGAGTGACCGTTCATACTTCGGTCTCCTCCGCGGTACTCTGACCCCTTAGCCTGGTCAGATCTTTACACAGCCCCTGCGTCTGCTGTAGTGCCTTTAACTTGAAGCAGCTCTGACAGATTGTGTTGCAGGTCCATATGAGGATTCGCTGGAATGTGTTTTAAAGGAATGTAAAAACAATACTTTTTAAAAAATGTAAATAAATTGCGGTTACTTAGATTGAGGAGAAGGCTGAAGAAAAGGACCAGAAAAAAAAAAGGTAGGGAAATTATGCAGATATGACCATCAGCAGATTTTCAGTATTTTCACCAAATTCAAAACAAGAAATGAGTCTTCAACTGTCACCAGGGGGTATCATTTGGAAATACTCAAAACTAAATGTAAGGTTTGAGATCTATGAAACCCTTTCTTCAACTCCTAAAGATCAGAGAAGGTAGTCCTATGACTTCCCTTAAAAGCAGCAGGCATGTTTCATCCTTTAAGCACAGCGTTTGCAGGAATAGAGAATGATGAACTAATCTCTCAATTCTTTCCAACCAGAGATTCAGAAATCCAGAAAAAGAGGGGTTGTTAACGTATGCTTAATATGGGCAATATATCAATTTGTTTTCATTTGAAAAGCCATAAATAACATTTTGATATTTCAGTCAGTGGCCAGGGTCACTTTCTTTGTTAGATATTGACAGAGAGACCCCTGTGTATGAGATAAGAATTTGAGTATTTATTGATGCCTTGTTTTATAGTGTAAAGTTGATCAGGTTGCCTGATTTTAAAATGTCGGTGCTTGTGCCCCACCCCAGACCAGGTAACTCAGAACATTAGGGCAGCACTAACACAAACCATCCCCACCCAAGGAAAAAAGCACACCTATTTTACAAGCAAGGACATAAGCTCAGAGGGACTTACATCACTATAAGTGGAGAGCTGTGATCAAAGCCCTGTTTCCTATATCGCATTTGGAGCACTGCCACCCGGCTGAGTCACCCCTGCGAGGGAGGTTTCCTGATTCTTCCATGTGATAACTGTGTTGCAGCTTTATTGGTGAAATACTCATAGTCTAAACTCAAACTTTGTTTTACAGCCATCCTTTCCAAGGCCAGTATTCAGTGTCAGACATGAAGTTAAGATTCTCACAGTGAGTATTTAGGGAAAATACTAGGAACAGTCTTAAACGTCTGAATTTATGCCATGTGTTTCATTGCTAATTGGGAATTGTTTTTCTCCACTTCACAGACTTGTACTTCAAATAGTAACCAAATATGTGCATAACATTCTCTAGCTCAGCAGTGTGTATGTTTCAAAGTGAAAACACTGCTGTTTCATGGAGAATGGTGTGAACTAATAGCCAGATTTGCCATTTTTATTCTGGTGAAGTTACTTTAGCATATTGTGACTGTAGGAAGAGTTAAGCATACATCCTTATGCCCTTACCACTTTTTGGCTTATCTGCATATTCTTTTAGTGTTTTCTGAAAATTCACATGCTTAAAATGTTAGTAAATTAATTGATGCATAACAAATAATGAATTATTTAGCTTCTTTTCTCAGTACTGATTTGGGGGATGGTTATGGAGTGGTGAATGTATACCTGAGAGATTTTTAAAAATTGTACTTAACATTTCTCTCCTTTACTCAGTTCTGTTCAAAACAGTGAACGTGGCAAAAAACTTGGAAACGTCATGGTCACAACGAGTCGGAATGTTGTGCAAACAGGAAAAGCTGTTGGTAAGGATGTCTTGGGCAGGAACAGATTGGAATCATAACACATCTCTTCTCTATCCTCAATATGTCATTGATAAAAACATAAAGTTGTAGAGATCTGTGTCTCACATAATAATGCAAGATGGTCGAATACAGAGGTTTTTGTTTTAAATTTTGGCCTTATTCATTAAAACAATTCTTGTGGCACTAGATGATGTCAAACCAAGTTTAGCAAATTTTGTCCCCTCTGTTACCAGGATTCAAGCTTCTCTGGAGTTTTCCCTCCATTCCCTGAGCTGCCCACAGTTCTTTTTATTTATTTATTTTTGGCTGCACGCGGGCTTTCTTTAGTTGCGGCCAGCAGGGGCTACTCTTCGTTGCAGTGCGCGGGCTTCTCATTGCGGTGGCTTCTTGTTGCGGAGCATGGTGGCTTCTTGTTGCGGAGCACGGGCTCTAGGCGCACGGGCTTCATTAGTTGTGGGTCACGGGCTCTAGAGCACAGGCTCAGTAGTTGTGGCTCACGGGCTTAGTTTCTCCGCGGCATGTGGGATCTTCCCCAGACCAGGGCTCGAACCCATGTCCCCTGCATTGGCAGGCGGTTTTCCAACCACTGTGCCACCAGGGAAGTCCCAGCCCACAGTTCTTTATAAATAGTAGAGAGCCATAATAATAAAGTAGACATTAGGAGCTGCCGTCTTTTAAGGTAGTATCACACAATAAAGAAGATCAGTGAAACCAACAGTTGTTTTTATGAAAAAATCAACATTAGTGAAACCTTTTAGACTAATAAAGAGAAAAAGAAAATACAAATTACCAGTATTGGGCATGAAAGAGGGGACACCACTGTAGATCTTACAGAAATTAAAAGGATAATAAGAATATTGTGAATAATTTTATGCCAATTTTTCAACAACTTAGGTAAAATCTACAATTTTCTTGAAAGACTCAAATCGCCAAAACCAGTGCAGTAAAGAAAATAGAAAATCTGAATAGCCCTATATCTATTAAATAAGTTGAATTAAAATTTAAAAGCTTGCCACAAGGTTTTAAATATAATCTAAACACAGATGGCTTCACTTATGAATTTTATCAAACATTTAAGGAATAATGCTACTGTTATACAAACTCTTTCAGAAAGTAGTGGTTGAGGTAATACTCCCCAACTCATTTACTGATACCAAAGCCAGACAAATGGTAGCATGCTGTTGTATACACCCTTCTGTACCTTTTTTCACTTAAAATATTTTGAAGATTATTCCATATCCTTTCTAAAGAAACTTCTTGTTCCCTCTTTTCTATATTTTTAACTTATTATTTTTATATTATTTCAAACTTAAATTGTGCAACAGTGTACAAGGAACTCCCAGTTATCTCAGATTCACTGATTATTTACATTTGACTGTGTTTGCTTTGTCATATCATTATTGAAAATAGGACCCGTCTCCTTTCTTAGCTCCTGAGAGAACTTGGCTAACCCTTACTGAACACAACTCAAAAGCCCCAGAACTAAGTGATCTCTGTGCAGGGGTCCTCGTAGCTCTAACGTCCTGTATATCCAGAGATAGACAGGGTGAGAGAACTACTCCACACACTCGTCTTAGAAGAGAAACAAGGCACATGGCCCCATCACTATGGAAAAGTAGGGAAATTCTACTTCATCATAGTTATATGATGTCAGTTGTTAGTTAATTTTTAGTGATGCTGCTGATATTTAAATTCTAAGGCCTATTCTCTTCTTCCACACTCCCTTCTTCAAGAATAGTGAGTATGGATGATTCAGCTTAAATAATTTCACTTTAACACGAGATAACGCTCTTAAAAACAAAACAGACCTCAGGCAGATAGAGCTCTGTCTGTCTTCATTTGATGCAACATCATTTTAGATGACAAAAACAAATTTCCCTAAGCAGCCTATCAACTCTTCCCTGCAGGTGGTTTTTAGTTATCAACTTGGATTTAGGGTACAGAGAGCTCATAGGACTTTTTCAGCTCTCTAAGTCATTCTGCTACACAGCCAGTGCTGAGAACCACTGGCCTGGCACAGTGGGTATTAAGGAAAGAGTTTGCTCAAGATTTTCAAAATGCTTAGGAGAGCAGGGTCTTACACCCTGGCATTATCCAGGTTCCTCTTAGACATTCCCATGGTAAGGGATTATTTTGAAACTGGAAGTGTAAATGGTATTTTAGTAACTGTTAACATATCGGTTGTAGTTAATTAACATTTATTAATTAACATTGGTTTTTCAGTGTCTCTTAACAAAAATGAAGACATTTTTCCTTTTGTTTTTCCCCTTCTTTCCATTCAGGCCAGTCAGTTGGAGGAGCTTTTTCCAGTGCAAAGACAGCCATGTCTTCATGGCTTTCTACTTTCACCAGTTCCACTCCACAGAGTCTCACTGAGCTGCCTGACGGGAAACCCTGAGCAGAGCAAGCCACCCAGAAGCTGCTGTCGCTTTCTTAGGTTTAAGCGTCCCCTGTCTGTCTGCTGCTCCCAGACTGTTCCTCTTCATCGACCACAGGTCCACAGCAGGGACCAATAGGTCGAACTGTTTACAGGGACGGTTGCCCTCTGTGTAAATGAATGTCACGGGATGCTGAAAAGACGAAACCACAAGCATAGCAGGGACGGCTTCCCAGGTTGGGGTTTAAATTGACTTTTATTTTAGTCTGAGTCTGATTGAAACACAGTGAACGTTCTAATGAATTTTGAGTTCTGATATTATACATTTGTTTACTTTAGAAAAGTTTTTACTTGGTGTAGATTTTGTTCTGTTGTTGCTGTTTGAATATCCAGATGGATATTTATATGTGCTAAGATTAAGTTATATTACTATTTTAATTTCTCTAAAGTGGGCCCTGAAGTGTGCTTACATTTAACAGTAAGGGGCCATATAATCCAGCCCTTCATTATTATCTTGCTGAGTTATATGAGGATTTTTTGTTTGTTGGTTTTCTACCCACAAAACACATTTATCACTTCACTTCCTCCTGGAAACCGTGGAAGTCAGAGGTGGTAGTTCTGAGGATGGAGTGTTTTGTTTTGTGCTTTTAATTTATTCTTTCCCAATCCTAAGCACTTGCTTTGAGGTGTCAAGGAGGGTCACTGTGCTTTCTTCCTTTTCCTAATTGTTCAAGTAGATGTGCAAAGAAACAGCATGGTGACGGTTATAGCGGTGTTCAAGCAGTTTAACTGAGTGTGTATTTAGGGCAAGACTTTTAAAGATCTAGGTGTTCTACTGACTGTAGTAATGTTGCAATCTTTACATGCATTTTTTAACCCAGAGTTTGTGCCTTCTATTCTTCTTTTGAACAGTTTTCCATTGGGTGTTTACAGACTTACAGGTTTTTTCTTAGTCTTAATCTTCATAAAGCTTTTCAGGGCGCTTGGCCTTCCTACTTCCCTGATAGAAAATCCTCATGTAATCAATCTCTACCCCCTTCCAAAAGCAAGATGATCTGTAAATATTAAATAGAAATCTCATCTTGGCTCACATTTAGAAAAGCAAGAGAAGAAAACTACAACCATGACATCAGTCATGTTTCATGAAGGACACCTGGGTTCATTTTAGACACAGGTGTGCTCAGTACTGAAGATTTTTACACAACTAGACCTCATGTGGCTGCCAGGCTCAGCTCTCATTTGCTTTTCAAGGGGACTTTGGCTGGGTGTTCTCAGGGAGTACTTAGAGGCGACAGACTGCTTTTTCAGTAACAAAGGATACTTGGAAAATACATCATGAGTATAATCTACATTTGATATAAAGAGTATTGAGAAAATCGGGGACCTAATTAAGGAGGACGCTTGATTATATTTGATTTATCCTTTAAGAAATGTTTGTGTAAAAAGCACTTCTAGGGCATGTGAAATGAAACATAGGGACATAATCTAAATATCCCTAAAATTTCCAATTTGTGTTTTAACACAAGTCCTGCACACCTAAAAGCGTACTTCCCTTTGAGTATAATAACTCAAGGTAAAGGGCTTATTGTGAGAACTCTATTAATTCCACTTCTGCTAGGAAAGTTTGCTTTCTCAGGAAATACTATTTGAAGAGAAGAAAGTAGTACCAAACAAAACTTTAAAAGGTACTTTAAAGTTGCACTGAGATTAACATCTTATTGTTTTGTGAGGCTGCACTGTTGGGTAGAGTGTGATAGTGTATTGGTGCGCAGTTGCTACTCTCGACTGCCGAGCTGTTCACGGCGCTAAGAGTGCTGTGAGGGGTCAGCCAGCACGCTGCTGGTTCCTCCTTTCATTTGTATGGCTTGTGTGATTGGGGTGAATTCTCATCTCTCACTATTCAAAGAAGTCCAATCCACTTTGGAATCCCACTGAAATAAAACAAGTTACATAAAATTTAACTTTGCTTTAGAATCACTTACTCCCTATTTTATATACACCTTAATGGAACTTTCCATTCATGTTTCTGGTTAAGAGTTCAGCTCTTATTTACAGTGGTCATTTAACTGGCTTTCAACATAAAGTGAGTATTTCAGAAGACAGAACTTTTGTCTAGAATCGGTCAAAAGACCATAACTCTATTTCCTTCAGGTTCTAGAAGGTATGGGCGTCTTCAGGGAGTGCAGGCTATTACGTTGCTGCTGGGGGGCCCTGGGGCAGCCAGCACAGTTGCAGGCAGGAAGCCTGGCCCCTGGTCCCGGGAGCCTACGTGCTTCAAGTCTGGGTTCCAGGCTCCAGCCCAGCGTCCAGCCTGGAAGCAGTAGCCTCCTCCAACCACTGGCTCTGTGAGTGAAACCAACACTGGTGTGGCTGTCTTTGGACAAATCACTGGAAAAGGTGTGTACTTTGCTTGGCCACAGTGTTTTTGTCTGAGAACTGAGTGCGTTTATGTAGGCCCGAGGGAGCTATAGGGTCAGCCAGGCTTTTTCAGAGTGTGCCAGGCAACACAGACTGCATCCATAGCTTGGTGGAGACCTCGCTCCTGTCCAGGTGACTTAAAACGAGTGTTTGGAAAAAGTCCCTGGTGTGCTTTAATTCCTACTAGGCACTGTAATGACGATGGCATAGGTAAAGGAAAGAGGGTTAAAGCTGGCCCAAGTGTCCTGAGTTAAGTGAATAGGAAAAGTTGCCTGTCACAGTATGGCTTAGGGTTATTTTGCATCTGCATTTGGCTCATATAACCAGTATGAATAGTCTATCCCCAAATCTGTTAGTGATTTACTAGCCCCCAGGCCCTAAAATACAATTTTCTTCTACTTTTTGCTTTAAGAAACACAGCAGCTGTATCTTTGGGCAGCAAACCAGAGCATATGGCGTGATTTCCTCAACCTTATCTTGCTTTCCAAGTCCTGTATTAAGCATTGTTATTTTTGTTGTTGTTGTTTTTAGAATAATTTACTTAGAAAGGCAAGGAGAAAACAAATTAGGAAGGGAGAGGTAAGAAGTTGCAAAGCCGAGAGACAAGGTCCTTCAAAATCTGAATGAAAGTACTTTGAGAGCAGTATTTTGTTTTCTTTTGGTATAAATTTATTTATTTTTGGCTGTGTAGCTGCGCGCAGGCTTTCTCTAGTTGCGGCGAGCAGGGGCTACTCTTCGTTGCGGTGCGTGGGCTTCTCATTGTGGTGGCTTCTCTTGTTGCGGAGCATGGGCTCTAGGAGCACGGGCTTCAGTAGTTGTGGCACGTGGGCTCAGTAGTTGCGACTCGCAGGCTCTAGAGCACAGGCTCAGTAGTTGTGGCACTCGGGCTTAGTTGCTCTGTGGCATGTGGTATCTTCCTGGACCAGGGCTCAAGCCCATGTCCCCTGCATTGGCAGGCGGATTCTTAACCACTGTACCACCAAGGAAGCCCAAGAGCAGTATTTAATATGCTAAAGGTTATAAGAATTCTTTTATAAAGAACTTAAATTTTTTATCTGCTAGTTACGAGTTTTTTGTTGTTGTTGTTGTTGTTGTTGTTGTTGCTGTACACGGGCTTCTCACTGTTGTGGCCTCTCCCGTTGTGGAGCACAGGCTCCGGACGCGCAGGCTCAGCGGCCATGGCTCACAGGCCCAGCCGCTGTGCGGCATGTGGGATCTTCCCGGACCGGAGCATGAACCTGTGTCCCCTGCATCGGCAGGCGGACTCTCAGCCACTGTGCCACCAGGGAAGCCCACGAGTTTTAAAATGAGGCTTTAACTCTATCTCCCTGGCAGGCAGTTTTTGTTTTTAATTTGTTTTGTGGAAGTTAGAGCCAGTGGTCCTTTTCCCTGAGGCCTGGTGATGAGTTTAGGAGCACCCAGCCCTGTGAGGGGCCAGTGGACTTATCCTGAACCCCTTGAACTTTTATCTGCTTCAGCAGTTTGGGAAAGTAGCCTGTTAGGCTGGTAGCCGGTAAGTGTTGCCTGTTATTTTATCAGGGAGTTGGTTGGGACTCTTGAGATGGCATTGACATTTGCATGCTCTGATTGTTTGACCAGAGGTGGCACGTCGTTCATGGCCTTTCCACCCAGTTCTGTGGTAGCCTCTAAACACGATAGAGAACGCAGCCCTAGTTTCTAGAAGATGATTGTCATGCCGTGTAGCTCAGCGTGCCACTACGAGTTTTTTCATTCCAAGTCTTTGGACTTCATAACATTGGAATTGTTTTTTCATCATTTCCAACATTCCATAAATATTTGTCAAGGACAAAGAAAAGGAATGTGGATCTTTATTCTTCTCATATAAATAACTTTGTAAACATGACTTCCTGCTTTCATATGAAGGAGAAGAAACTAGCTTCCTTGTATGGCAGCTCCAAAACTAAAAGATTGTTGGACGTATAAGGGGTTGAATATATTTTGTAAAACGCTAATGCATTTGTATCTCTGTGCTGTTCTAAAGATTACCTTTTTACTTATATTAATTAAAGATATAGAAACTATATATTTAAATCATGTTAAATGGGACACAACTTAGGGATTTTCCTCAATCTTATTTTTCATCGGCTTCTCACACTCATATAGTATGCTGCTCAAATTTTTTTGTGTGCAATATGAATATTTGAACATTTCAGTCAGGTACTGAGCCAGAAAAGGTAATTGAAGTTTTTAGAAAACTTACGTGCTTAGAAAATATATTGTTTTCTTTAAATATTAGTAATTTATAGCTGGAAATATAGGATCAAGACTTGTTTCAGGCCACTTGATCACTGGTTCCTAAATTTAGGAAGCATATGATTAACAAGTTGGTGAAAGCATTTAGTGGGTACAGGAATAGTTTAAATACTTGAGATTAAAGGTTTTTCACAAACCCTGTTCTAAGAAAGTTTAGCTTAGAAATCTTAGAAAGTTTTCTTAGGAAGTTTAGAGCTGTGGTACATGTTTTGATTAGAAAGGTAGTTTCTTTTTGCTCTAGTAGTTTTATAATTTGTAGTAGTCTTTTGTTTCTGTTGTCATTTGTTTTTTAAAAAATGTTAAAATTATAAATCACGTCCAGTCATACTGAATTGTAAAACTTCTACTGTATCTTTATTTTAAGGAAAAATGAGAATAAAATTATCCCGTTTCTCCTGCATACAGTGGACTTGGCCTGTTTTTCTAGAAGTACCCTTCATGTTGTCAGTGTGGTTTCTGGCCTGCTTCACAGTTGGACAGAAGGGCCAGCTTCGTTTATTAGGAAACCAGCGGAACTAAAGGACTCATTGCTCGGTTTTTCTTTTTTACTCTCTCATTTTGAAAATACTTGTGGTGCTTCAGTTTGTGAGGTGGTGACCCTCGC